ATGTCTAATTCCTCTCCATTACTTAAATGCTGCCGCCAATGAGTATGGCATTGTATAATCATATTCCTTCAGCAGTTAAAATAGAAAAAATTGCAGATAGAGATGTGTATAACTGGCATGCATAGAAATGCAGAACCAGTTACATGACAAAAGTAGACTAAACTCTAAACCTTCATATTTAGAAACAAGATTTGCCATTTAACAAGAATTACATTCATTAAACTGGAGAGTATCTCCTATAGAGAAAACTTTTAGGTCAAATCCAAACATTACTATATTCATACTTGGGAGCACTTCGACAACTCAAGGCTGAAAATCCCACACTGTGCTTGTTGTCAGTCCATTGTTTTCCTGCCTCGTAGGCTCGGGAAGTGAATATTCTACCACTTTGTGCAGGTGGTGCTGAATGCTGTGTCCACTGAATTGGGGCCGCCCAGGGTCACCAATCAGTATTCGAGTTCCATAGGTCCAGAAGCAATTCTTCAGCCACTGATGAAGACTATCTGCAAGGTTTTCATCATAAAACATATCGCCAAGAACAATGAGGTCCCACTTATCTTGTTCCAAATTCAAAATGTTTTGGATTAAAATAGGAAAAGGATTCAGTTGGTTCAATTCACAATTTAGTGTAATAGCCATTCCTGCAACTTAAAAATAAAAGCACAAAATGAATTGTGCTGTAATAATTCCCTGATTAAATAATTTAGAAAATTGGCTAACAATATATTTTTCTCTCTTTTTGTTGAAAGTTGTTTTTTAAAGTAAAGAAGTGTAAAGTTTATGCCAACATAAGCTGTACCACAATTTTCAAATATATGACTGGATATCCTGAAAACAAAACAATCTAAAACATCTAGAAATGCTGGGAGTTAAGGAACATTTGCTGATCTCATTTACCAAGAGATTTTGGTTTTTCACTGTGGACAGGGAAACAAGCCTTGGGCTTGATTGAGCCTGGCAATAAATTAGAACTGAGACCCCTCTACAAAATAAAGGTTTCCAAGGGCTATATCCTCAGTGAAAGGGTAGACCAGAAGAAAATCAGATCAAATAAAAACTTACCTGTCTCAACCTGGATTCTAATGGAATAAAAGTCACCCTTGAAGACAGGCCAATACTCACGTGGGTTTGGGGTTAAATAAACACTATTTCCCTTTTTTTTTTTTTTCTTTGAGACGGAGTCTTGCTTTGTCACCCAGGTTAGAGTGCCGTGGTGCGATCTCGGCTCACTGCAACCTCTGCCTCACGAGTTCAAGCGATTCTCTTGCCTCAGCCTCCCAAGTAGCTGGGATTACAGGTGCACGCCACCACACTCGGGTAATTTTTGTATTTTTCATAAAGATGGGGTTTCACTATGTTGGTCAGACTGGTCTCGAACTCCTGACCTTGTGATCCACCCACCTTAGCCTCCGAAAGCGCTCAGATTACATGTGTGAGCCACCGTGCCCAGCCAAATAAACACCATTTACATATTTCAGGAAATTCCTAGCCAATACATTAAAGTAAGTGCTCCTTCCAGGATGTCTGGCAGACATAAATCCTCTTGGGTAAAATGCACCATCAACTCAGACTTAAGAGGATTCCGACAGATAATGCCCCAGTGCATACAGATTCACAAGGTCCAATCACAAAATACATGTAGCGATAAGCTACCACACTAAGCACATGTACACATTTATCCTGGAGGGGAAAAAAAAAAGGTGAGCCTTAAATATTTTAAAATATGAATCCTTACTAGGGTCTATGTCATTGGCCAAGATCCTTGATGCCCCACTCATCTTCGCAGCAATAGCTGTAGCTCCACATCCACTCCCAAGATCTAATACAGATTTTCCTCTGACAATATCAGGATTATCCAAAAGATACCTAAATTAAAAAGAAAGGAGAAACACGTCTCAGAGAGATGAGAAAAGGTAAGAGTTATCTAAAAAAAAAGAAAAGGAAAGGAAAAGAAGGAAAAGCAAAGAAAACAGATGTCTTTAGGTTGACTTGACAAAAGAAATAGTGGAACTTAGCAGAAGAACTTGGTCCAACCTTGGCAAGTTTGGTCCGACTAGAGTGACACAAAAAGTCCATCTCCAGAGCTGGGCAGAGGTGGCAGAAGAAAGAACCTAGTTATTCGGTCTTTCTCCTCAGCAGGTGTGAAGCATAGTACCACACAACTGACTAATCATGCTAGTCAAGTCAATTAAAAAAAAAAAAAGTTGTAAGCTGGGCATGGTGGCTCATGGCTGTAATCCCAGAACTTCAGGAGGCCAAGGCAGGCGGATCACTTGAGGTTAGGAATTTGAGACCAGCCTGGCCAACATGGCAAAACCCCATCTCTACTAAAAATACAAAAATTAGCCAGGCCTGGTGGCGTCCACCTGCAGTCCTGTTACTCAGGAGGCTGAGGCAGGAGAATCACTTGAACCCAGGAGGCGGAGGTTGCAGTGAGCCGATATCATGCCACTGTGCTCCAGCCTGGGTGACAGAGCAAGACTCCATCTCAAATTAAAAAAAAAAAAATACAAAACACAAAAATTAGCTGGGCATGGTGGTGGGTGCCTATAGTCCCAGCTATTCAGGAGGCTGAGGCAGGAGAGTTGCTTGAACCCACAAGGTGGAGATTGCAGTGAGCTGAGATCACACCATTGCACTCCAGCCTGGGTGACAAGAGCAAAAACTCCGTCTCTAAATAAATAAATTGCTGCTATCTGTCTTCAGCTCACAGTTGCCATGCAGAATCCCTGCTTAACAGGTATCCCTGTTTTTCAAAGCTAAGTCAATTTTTACATGCAATCTCTCCAGTTTTAAATATTAGCAACTAATTTTTTTGAAGTTTACAAGTACAGGCCAAACAAAACACACCTATGGGTCACCAATTTATGACACCTAACTCAGTCTCTTAAACAAGTTGATTTTATATCAAGTTGATAAACAGTCACTTTAATAGACAGACATCAAGATGTCTGCATCCTAAAAATAGGATGTAACTAATAAAGCTTGAATGTCTAGTAGTAACATAACAATCAGAAAACTGGCATTATTTTGTACCAACTGGAAAGCTTTCCAGTTCTTGGAATTTCCCCCAAAAAGCTCTGTGTTTGCATTTATATACTTAATTTAAAACTACATATAAAAAATAAACTACATATAACACTAATTATGTAGGCTCTACCATTCCTGTGAAACAGAAGTCCTTATCACATTTTTTGTTTCACAGCTTTATAACCCCAGTGTATAAACAGATGAAATCATTTACCAAACCGACAACAAAGACCAGATCAAAATGCTAAAAGGTCTTGCCTTTATTTCATCAACTGTGTTTCAATAAAAAGTATAGTGTGACTATGCCAGAAAATGCCCTAAGACCTCTGCAATATGGAGAGTTAGAAGGCAGGGAGGGGGGCTTAAAATACAGATTCAAGTCCAGAGTTGGCCCAAGTTTTCCATAAGCCTCTAGAGAAGAGGGATCTTTTTTTCTCTCTTTTTTTTTTTTTTTTT